AAGCATAGGCATGTGAATGAGGTAAGTGTATTCCAGTATCGGCAGCTGAGTTGGGTTCTATAGTGAGTTGCTCGATAAGAAATGGGAGGGGCGCATCCCGTTTCGTCCTGGACATGTACAACGCAACTGGCCAGAGTCATAGCTATGAGAAAGTCTAAATTCTGAATTTGATTTGCCCTTATGGCTCAGCGGCAGAGCGTCTGTCTCGTAAACAGAAGGTCCTGAGTTCAATTCTCAGTGAGGGCACATGCTTTTGCACCTCTTTTGGACGAGGCTATTTCGATCTTGACTCGACTCAGCTCACTATTTTGCCTGTTTGTATGCATGGCAGTTGCATTGGCCAATAGGCGATTGACATCGGAAGTTGGCGTCTCTGGTAGGCTAGAAAGTAGCTACTTCAGTTGCTGGTCCGTCCGTGCCGCTGCAGGTTCTTCTTTGTATACTTCCAAACACCAATATTCACTTTATCTTGAACCTTTATCACTAAACTTGCGAAATGCTCGACTTTCTCATTTGCGTGGGCGGTATATATGCATGTTTCCTGACGTGGTCGGCGATGCAGGAGCGAGTCACAACACAGGCATACGGGGCCGACGCGCAAAAGTTTCAGTTCACGATTGCGCTCAACCTTATCCAGGCTATGACAGCCAGCCTGGTCGGGTTTGTATATGTGCGTGTAGTGCAGCGGAAGGCGATGCTGGCCATGTCGCGGCGGCGGTGGTTCCGGTTCTTCCAAATTGCATTCATGGCCTCGGTGGCGTCGCCGTTCGGGTACATGGCTCTGCGGTATATCAACTATCCGACAATGACATTGGCCAAGACATGCAAGCTAGTGCCAGTGATGCTGATGAATGTCGTGCTGTACAAGCGCAAGTACGCGATATACAAATACGTGGTAGTGGCGATGATCACTTTGGGAGTGTCGGCGTTCATGCTGTTCAAGAGCAGCAGCAAGGGTGGTGCGAAGGCGGCAGAGAACAGCCTGCACGGGCTGTTTTTGGTGTTTATTAACCTGGCGATTGATGGTCTTGTCAACTCGACACAAGAGCAAATCTTAGCAGACGACAGGGAGGTGACGGGCCAGCACATGATGTGCTTAATGAACCTGTGCAGCAGCATACTGATGGCGCTGTGGCTGATGAATCCGTTCAACCCGGAGCTGGGCAATGCTGTGGCGTTCCTGAGGCAGCATCCGCGTGCGACAATCGACATTGGCATGTCTGTCATGTGTGGAGCTCTGGGCCAGTGTTTCATCTTTTACACTTTGGCAAAGTTTGGTTCGTTGACGCTGGTGACCATCAATGTGACGCGCAAGTTCCTGACCATCCTGTTCTCAGTGTTCTACTACAGTCACCCGCTCAACGGTCGCCAGTGGGTTGCGGCTGGAATCGTGTTTGCTGGAATCGCGCTGGACGCCTACAAGAAGCAGACAGGCAAGAAGGCAAAGAAGCAGGCGGTGGTTGAGATGACCCAGGTCGGCAAAGGCAAGGCACTGGCTGGTGGCGAGCTGAGCGACGATGAGAAGCTGTCGGTGGGTGAGCGCCAGAGCCTGTTTGTGCCGCCCCAGCTTGGCAGCAGTGTCGAGGGTATCGAGCAGTCGATGGGCGACCTTCGTCGCCGCCAGCAAGCTGTCAGTGTTGCTGCGGCTTAAATACACGACCACGAGCAGATATTGCCATGGCATATGGAACATGCATATCTTCTACATCTCCCCTTCCAGTCATGAAGCAACAGCCACATATACTTGCATTTAGACACATATCCGAGCATAGAAATATATATATATGGTGGCGTGAATCGGCGTTTGGCGTGTTCCAGTCCACTGCCAAAAGCCCGGGTAGAATGGCAGTGCAGTTCCGCTTTCCATTTGGCAGATCCATGGCCACCTTTTCCGGATGAGGGCCATGTGCCTAGAGCACAAAATCAAACCTCAAAAAGGCTCTCTGCCAGCGACACGCACTTCCCTGCTTCTTGCAACTGTTCAGTATACTTATCACTTCTATTCAGTTGAAATTTACCAAAGATGGCGAATGCAAATGACTTGTCGGCGCTGCTGAAGCGGCTCGAGCGGGCCACTGCCCGTCTAGAGGAGGTGTCTGCTGGACGCGCCTCGCAGCCGAAGACCGCTGTAACCGGCGGCAATTCGGATGGGCTGTCCGAAGATGCTGGGTCGGACCACCCGGCAGTGCGCGAATACGACAGCGTAATTGTGCCTCTTGTAGAGGAGTACGTCACCTACTCTTCTCAGATCGGTGATGTCGCCGGCATGCAAGCCTCGGCGGTTCAGGCAATTATATCGGCGCAGCGCAACTTTATCCGTTTGGCGACGCAAACCCGCAAGCCCTCGATGGAGCAGCTGTCGGAGATGTTGAGCCCACAGCAGACACCAATGATGGAGGCGATTGCGATCAAGGACAAGAACCGGCCGTCGCCGCTGTTCAACCACCTGTCGACGGTGGCCGATGGCATTGCAGCGCTCGGATGGGTTGCGGTGGAAAAGACACCGGTGCCGTATATTAATGAGATGAAGGATTCGGCTCAGTTCTATGCGAATCGCGTGCTGAAGGAGTGGCGCGATAAGGATGAGGTGCATGCGAAGTGGGTGCGCGCGTTCTTGAGCCTGCTGAGGGAGCTGGCGGCGTATGTCAAGCAGTTCCATGCGACAGGAGTTGTGTGGAATCCCAAGGGTGGAGATGCCGCTGCAGCTATCACGGCCATCAAGGGCGGCAAACCGGCAGCTCCAGCTGCGCCAGCTGCAGGAGCAGCTGGTGGTCCGCCGCCGCCGCCGCCGCCTCCTCCGGTTATCTCTGACTTTAGCGATGTTCAAGGAAGCTCCAGCAGCCCGTCTCAGAGCCGCGGGGCTCTATT